AATTGTGCGAAGATCATTTACGTCTACGGCGTAATTGGTATATTCTATATTGAAGTCGTTTTTCTTCAATTGTCTCTTTGGGAAGAAATTCTGTTAGTCAAGATAATCTGTTCTCAGAAAAAAAAGAAGGAAAAATTAAAACCTTCGAGTTTTCTATAATTACATTTCTTTTTAAGCATGAATTGAATAAAAAAAAAAAAGAAGGGAAAAAAAAGTAAATCGACGAAATAAAAATATTTCTGGATTGTGTTTTCAATCGTTGCATAATGATAACAATGTGCATCGTTGATAAAATCGAGCGTTTTAGTAAGTATATTTTTAAGGAGCATTGCCAAAGAAATACGAGCAAATACGACGAAGACAACGAAGAATCCAATTTCGTTTCGTTGACACATGAATGACGAATAATCGTGACGTAATCGCATAAAAACAAGCGATTCGCGCGAATGAATGATGGGATTACTCGTACGATCCACTTTCGCAAGAATCGATCAGCTGGTATCACTGTAAACAAATTTACAGGATCGCTTCTACTTGCGGCAATTGGTTAATTGGTGCAATTATAAACGAAGCGAATGGAACGCCGACGCCGGCGGGGCGCGATTTTGTGTACATGTCGTTAGGTCTTCGATCCTTCAAGGGATAACGCATAAAACGATTTCATTTCAGTGAAGATTAATGTCAAAAAAAAAAAAAATGAATACGCAAAAAAATATGTCTTTTGTCGGCACAGCACATTTTGTGCACGTTTCATCAATTGAACGCACACAGTGTGCAGTTTTTTTTTTTTAACGAACGAATTAAGTGCCAGTGCCAATTCAATTAAATAAATATTATTATATATATATTATTCAAAAATGTTTCTTCTTCAACGAACGAGCAAGTATTGTTGCAATATCGGATAGTTACGGTAGCCGTTAAAATTTACTCGCTTTCGATTAAACAGCGAAATTCTCGGCGCGTTTCAGTAACATCGTTTCCCGATTAATGCTCAAGATAATAACTCACTCACCCGCCGTTTTCTCTCCTGCACGAAATCCATCCTGCGCACCCACACCTCCTCCGTGGAGTCGTAATCGAGGGTGCTGGTGCTGCTCGCCTGACTCTTCATCTCGATCAGGCTGCTGTCGAAGAACCTTTTGTCGAAATGCGGGCTGGGCAATGGACTCGTCCTCGAGAAGGTCATGCTGGTGGAGTACGAAGGGGGATCCGTCGCGGGGAAGGTCATGCCCGGGCCGGTGGTATGCCTCCTCCGTAGGGGCGGCTTCGTCGTCGACGTCGGTGATGTCACGGTCGATGTTGTAAATCTGCCGGAAACCGTTGTCGTCGTTGACGAGGTGGTCGCGACTGTCGTCGTTGCCGTCGTCGTTGTCGTCGTCGTCGTTGTCAATGACGGCGACGATGGTTTCGCGTCCGATACGCTGGACGTCGCCAGGGATTTCTCGTCGATCTTCTCCGAGCTGGACTTCTCCGAGGACGACGGGCTCGACGCTTTCGACGTCTTGGAAGAAACGCTATCGGCCTTATCGCCCTGCGTCTTCGACGCATCCTTCTTGCTCTCGATTATACTTGGGTTATCGACGTTCTTTCCTATAAAAAAATCATCGCGATCTGAGTCTTTAAACATTATTTAAACGTGACAAACCTCTCATTATCCCATCCACGCGTAGAGCCTCAAGGTCGAGGAGTGGCACAAAGGCGCGTCTGTGACCCCCGCTGAATCGTCGGAAAATTCACGGCAACGCGACAAGACTTTTATCGATGAAACGACGGTCGCTGCCGTTAAATTATTGAAAGCAACATTTGCGAAAATAGAAAAACGATTATAAATCTGTCTTGTTACGCAGGTAAAGAAATCCGCGAGAAGAATTTCTCGATATTTCACGTATCAAAGCTCAACCGATTATGCTTTTGTCGAGCGATCAAAAATCATATCTCAGGCTCCAGAGAGCGAGAGAGAAACGCGTTATAAATACACTTAAAGCGATCGTTACCTAAGTGGAGTGACTTTTCACGCCGCGCGTTGCCAAACGCGAGCACGCTAAGCTAATCTTAGCTCTCATTGGACGAGTTTCTCGCAATAGCTTATATTTCGTAACCGAACGCTTTTCTCGTAATTGTCCGTGGAATCCGGTTCGATCCGGGGCAATTAACTCTCGAAACTCTCTTTGAAACAACAAAGGCGCGCCCTCCCTTACCTTCCTCCGTCTCGTACTCGTCCTCCTCCCGGCACTCCGACAGCCTCCTACCCCAGGGATACGGGCTGTGCGTCTGATTCCTCGACGGCAGCCGGTTTACATGCGACAAAAAGTAATGATGGAAGAAACTGTCCACGCCGTCGGAATCCTCCCCGGAGGACTGCAGCATATCCTTGAGCGCCGCCAGGGAAGTAATAGTGTTATAATTGATCGCCGAGACGAGATCATCCTCAATATCGCTGTCGTCCGTCGTATCCTCGTTCTTGGACACGCTATCCTTCGATTCCTCCCTCGAGGTCACATCCGTTTGCGTCGTCTTAGCCGTCTCCGGCTTGGACGGCTCCGTCTTGTCCTCCGAACTGGTCTCGGACTCGTCGTCGGTGCTGCTGGTGGAGGTGCTGTCGCTGGACGACTCCTGCTCCTTCTTCTCGCCGCTCGTCCGCCGCGCTTCCTTGCGCTCCTCCTCGTCGGCGGACTCCTTGCTCCCCTCGTCCTCCTCGTCGACCTCCTCGTCGTCGGCCGACAGCGTCTTTTTCAGCGTCTTCATCTCGTTCTTCAGATTCATGTTCTCCAAGGACTCGCGCTTGTCCTCCGCCTTCATCTTCCAATCGACGTCCTCTTGCCCGGTCGAGTCATCGTCGTTCCGCTTCCTATTGTCCCCGTTCACGTCGCACTCGTCCGACTCGTTCTGCTTGTCGTTGCCGGTGCCCTCCATCGAGGAAGCTGAAAGAGAAGGCGAGAATAATCATTCTCGCGCGCAAGGTCAGCCTCTCTCTCTCTC